CCCCCCCCCCCCCCCCCCGCCTCCACACAAGAGTCCTGAAGAGTTTGGTCCAAACGCGATCATTTCGCCCCACAGTGTAAACAATTATCGCTGCACCGGGCAGTGAAGTGACACACTGCACGTACTGTACAGGACGGTGGGGAGAAGGGGGCGGTTCACACTCCCTGGCCTGTTTCCATGTGGAAAAAAAACATGCAAAGGCTCTCATGTGTTGGAAACCCACATTTATTTTTACCATTTCTTTGTGCTAAAGGTTAAAATATAGTGAGCAATATTTTCCACTTCTAAAAAAGACGCAACCCTGCGCAAGAGCTGAACAGTTTCTAAACCTTGTGTTGATGCAAAACCTGCCCGAAATGTCTCTAACTCTTGCACACATGGGCTTGAAGCAGAGTGACCTTATTCCTTTGAGGGGGGGGGGGGCAGTCAGGAGATGATGAGTTAGGTATTGGGTATTTTTTTAAGACTAGTTTTAGTCGGAGGAAATGTAAAGGATACTGTCTGCTCGTTTTGCACTAGTGGCATGGCTTCTGTAACAGTGTTACATGCGAATGGGTCGTGCAGAACAGTTCGGACAGCTGCCCCGTTTCGTTACATTTGAGGGGAAGCCTGAGGGAGGAAGTACGGGTCGGGGGAAGGGTGGTGCTACTGAATTCCTCAAGCCTGTTCCCACATTCAATTAGATCACAGCTGATCTGCAGCCCAACTCATTTCTGAAGAAGGGTCCAGACCCGAAACGTCAGCCTTCCTGCACCTCTGATGCTGCTTGGCCTGCTGTGTTCATCCAGCTCTACACCTTCTTATCTCCATTCTATACCCTCTCTTTGGGGGGGGGGGGGGGGGGCGTGTATGTCATGTAGCGCCGTGGTAAAGTCCCTGCCTCTGAACAAGGTAGACCTGGGTTCAAGTCCCATCCTGCTCCAGAGGTATGTAATAACATCTCTGATCAGGGAAAATATCCACATTCCTGAATAACTTTGAGAAACAAACATCTTAGATTTAAAATTGACAACTTATCAGGCATTAGTTGCTATTTATGGAAAACAGTTCTTGCCTCTTCTGTATAAGTGGGCTTCTAACTTTCCGTCCTAAAAGGGATAACAACGTGTAGAGCTGGACGAACACAGTAGGCTAGGCAGCATCAGAGGAGCAGGAAAGCTGACGTTTCAGGTCAGACCCGAAACATCAGCTTTCCTGCTCCTCTGATGCTGCTTGGCCTGCTGTGTTCATCCAGCTTTACACCTTGTTATCTCAGATTCTCCATCTTCAGCAGTTCCTACTATGTCCGTCCTAAAAGGGTTGTCCTTCATGTTTTTTTGACTATGGTCCCTAATGCTAAACTCTCCAGTTAGCAGTTTCTCTTCATCTGCCCAACCTGCTCATTGCACAATCACTCATTAACCTTCTAAATTTCAAGTAATGTAATTCTAGTTTGTGTAACCATGTTAACTGGAGGATTCTCATGTGGCTGACATGGCATTCAGTTAAACGGACTGTTTCTGTGTTGGATATTGTGATGGGCTCTGACAACATTCCAGTAATTGTACTGAAGACTTGTGCCACACTAACTCCTGCCACTAGCCAAGCTGTTCCAGTACAGCTACAAGATGAGTATATATATGGAAGAGGAACAGCAGAGTGTTTCCACTGGTTGGAGTCACACCTGGCACATAGGAAGATGTTTGTGGTTGTTGAACGTCAGTCATCTACTCCAGGGTGTCTCTGCAGGAGTTCGTCAGGGTAGAATCCAAGGCTCAACCATCTTAATCTGCTTCATCAATGACTTCCCCTAAACATAGGATTTCCCCATTAATTGCATAATATTCAGTACCAATCACAACTCCTCAGACACTGAAGCAGTTCATATCAGTGAGGCTCAGACCACATTGTGGCCTGGGCTGATAAATAGCAAGTAGTACTTGTATCACACAAGTGCCAGGCAATAACCATCCTCTTCAAGGGAGAATGTAATGTCTTAAATCTTCTCTTGACTTTCAGTAGCATTACCATTGCTGAATCCACTGCTATCAACATCCTGGGGGTTTCCATTGACCAACTATATAAATACTGTGGCTACAAGAGCAGGTTAGAAACTGGAATTCTGTGGCAAGTAACTCACCTTCTGACTTTTCATCACCTATTCCATCATCTATAAAGCAAAAGTCAGGAGTGTGATAAAATACTTTACATTTGCTTGGGCTCCATTCCAACTACTCTCAAGTAGCTTAACATCATCCTGGGAAAAAAACCACTTTCTTGTCACCCTAACTATTCCCTGCAGCGTTCCCTTTAACATTGTGAACATTGCTGACAATGTGCATCGTTGCTGCAAGAACTCATTGAGACTCCTTGGACAGCACCTTCCAAACCTGTGACTCTACCATGTAAAAGGACAAGGGCAGCAGATACATGGGGTCACCACCATTTGGAAGGTCCAAGCCACACACCAAACTGACATTGAAATATATTGATATTCCTTCATTGTCACGAGGTCAAACCGCTGGAACACTCTTCCTGTCAATAACAGGACCCTGTGTATTAATGTATGTAGTTTTCAGCATATGCATGTGGATCACACTGTGAGCCTGACTGACAGTACAAAATTGGTTGTTAATGTAATTCCTCAAATACTCAGGGGATCTTGATCAGTTGGGTCCATGGGCCAGGGAGTGGCAGATGGAGTTTAATTTAGATAAGTGTGACGTGCTGCATTTTGGAAAGACAAATCAGGGCAGGACTTATACACTTAATGGTAGGGTCCTGGGGAGTGTTGCTGAACAAAGGGACCTTGGACTGCAGGTTCATAGTTGTTTGAAAGTGGAGTTGCAGGTAGAAAAGGATAGTGAAGAAGGTGTTTGGTATGTTTGCCTTTAGTGGTCAGTGCATTGAGTATAGAAATTGGGAGGTCATGTTGCAGCTGTACAGGACATTGGTTAGGTCACTTTTGGAATACTGTGTTCAATTCTGGTCTCCCTGCTGGAAGGATGCTGTGAAACTTGAAAGGGTTCAGAAAGATTTACAAGGATGTTACCAGGGTTGGAGGGTTTGAGCTATAGGGAGAGGTGAATAGTCTGGGGCTATTTTCCCTGGAGAGTTGGAGGCTGAGGGGTGACCTTTATAGAGGTTTATTAAATCATGAAGGGCATAGATAGGGTAAATAGACAAGGTCTTTCCCCTGGGATGGGGGAGTCCAAAACCAGGGGGCATGGGTTTAAGGTAAGAGGGGAAAGATTTAAAAGGGAACTAAGAGGCAATGTTTTCATGCAGAGGGTGGTGCGTGTGCAGAATGAGGTGCCAGAGGAAGTGTGGAGGCTGGTATAATTACAACATTTAAAAGGCATCTGGTGGGTATATGAATAGGGGAAGGTTTAGAGGGATACGGGCCAAATGCTGGTAAATGGGACTAGATTTATTTAGGATATCTGGTCAGCATGGACGAGTTGGATTGAAGGGTCTGTTTTTGTGCTGTATAAAATCCTTTTAAATTGCAGAATTACTTTGAATGTTGTACACTGCTGTGAGTTTTGCAAGTTTGTGCTGGTTGGGTGTGGTCAGTAGATGGCTTGTTGTGAACAGCTGATGTGGTAGTCAGTTTGACTGATCTGCCTGCTTTGCAAACAGGAAGAAAATGTATACAGTGTCTGTTTTAAATCAATCTGACATGTTTAAAATTTAAATAAAACTTGGCAGTTAACTGTTATTCATCATTAACTGGTGCATTGTCTGTGGCAAAATCTCTACCAATCAGAATACACTTGCCCATGAATCACTACACTCTTATCATACAAAAATGCCAGCAATCAGCAACGTCCAAGTCCCGCGAGTGAATAAAAAAAGGTTGTTTTCCTTTTGTAGTGATATTTCTCGTGAGGTGTCCTGACGTGTACAAATTCTTTTCAGCATTACGCACCTAAAAAAAACAATCTTAATCAAGCTGTACCCAACTTGCAAAAATTCCACATTTCAAGCCTAATAAAATGCGAAGGATTTAGGCAAGGGCCGACTTGCCGGGAAAGCAATGAAGTAGGAAGTGCGTAAGGCAGAATTCTTGCTGAAACGCTGGAGTGGC